TCCTTGCAGAGGTTCTTACAACTGCATTGGAAACAGGATTCAACGTCCTTTTGTAGGTAGCAGAAACGACAGTGTGCCTCTGGTATGTATTTTTTTTTTAACAAAATGTATAATATTAAAAAAGAAACTGGCCCTCAAGTGTCATCCCCATTCCACTTCAAGTGGCGGGAATGTTGGGCTGTTGAACTCAGACTTGTTGCTAGAAAAGGAAATTTCCCCCCCTTTCTTGAGTGTCTATTCCCTAGCACAGCAAGCACAATGCTTGGCCAGGTCCCTTTAGACACCAGGAAGCCATCCTATACACACAACTGGAGTTTTGAGTTGGGAAGAACCCAGGGAAAGACAGCGCAGCTCACCAGCCCCAAGCAGAACCTAATCAATGAAAAGAGCAGAAAGCCAGGAAGGCAAGGAGCGGCAGTCCTGGACCCTGCCTTCCTCTAGCCGGAGCAAACAGTATTGGCGATTGGGCAAAATATTCATTTTGATTTTTTTCTCTCACTCAGGCACTGGTGAGTTTTCCTAACGGGGTCGCCTGTGAAAGGATGAGTTGAGGTTTCTTTGTCTGAGAAAGAGTTTAGGGCTCTGATTCAGCTGCAAAGATGCCAAATGAAGTTAGAAACAAAGGGCAAATTGAAGGATTCCGACTCTTGGCTTTTTGTGTTTTCCTTACTAGAAAATAATTAGACCTAATGAATATGCAGACGCTTCAGCTGAACCCTCGGCCCAGACAAGGTTTTAAGCAGAGATGCGGAGAAATGCAACTCTCATCTCCCAGCCCCCCGCATCCGCCTGCATTTTTTGAAATGCATAAATGTTGCTCGCCTTAATTGATTGAGTCACAGAGATTTTTTCCCTGCTTTTAAGTTCCATACTCTTCTACCTTTCAACAATCATTTTAATATATAGTCAATGGCTCTTTGTGGACGGGACAAAAAGCAACTACGCATAGTCCTTGAATAGACTTTGCGCTGGGCAAAGACAGGTTAATCGAGGGCCGCATCGCGAAAACAAGCGAGTGTTGTATGTTTGCACTGAATCCAAATGTCTGCATTTTCCTAACTAAATCAAAAGGAGTGTTATTTCTTTTTCTGTTCACTCATCTGAAGGTAAGTAAATTTTCTCTGGCGATCAAAAGCCTGGTCGGCAACAAAGACCGCGCCCGCTTTTTCCACCGTCCTGGTGTGGCGAGTTGCGGAATTTCAATAACTGTGACAAGGGTGACTGATTTGTGAACTAGAAAAGGTTTGAATGTCACAAAATTTACATTGGTCCTATCTATTGGGGATTTAAATACCAAAAAGGTATTCGGGAATTTCTAGGGAGCTTTGAGTAGTCTTGAAAACAATGGCGCATTGGGAAATTTACAGTTTTACCTGAATGAAAAGGATCCGGGGTTGGGAACAGGAGTGAAGAAGGAGGGGGTTAGCGGGAAGCAGACGAGAAAATGTAGGGAAAAGGGAGAAGAGAGTAGAATAACATAGAAGAGAGTAAAAGAGAAAATCGACAACACTGTTTTCAATTTGCCACCTAAAAATTAGTCCCAATAACCTAGAAAGTTAAGAGCTCTCATGCAACTGGGGAAGGGAGAAGGGAGGCGAGGGTAACACGATATATATATATATATATATATATATATATATACACACACACACACACACACACACACGTGTGTGTGTATGTATATATGTGCACCCGCGCAAATGGAGGCATCCAGTTATCCTGAGAAATCACATTTCATTAAAGTGGATTGCCCGTGTGCTCTAGAGATCTTAAATTATAAACAGGAGGGGGATGAGGCAAGAGTGAAGCAAACTTCAAAAGGAGCAAATAACAAAAGCTTCCTTTGCAGCCCTTGAAGGGGGAGAGAGGGGGGAAGAAAGAAAAGAAAGTTGCTGAATCGGGACATTCTGGAAGTGCCTTAGCTGTGTTTACTAGCCCCATTCCTTCCTTATGGTCTGAAGACTAGCTGTCCGAAGTCGCTAATCACAGCTAAGAGCAGGTCTGAGGAAGGATAAGAGTGAGAGATTAAGTCTGGGAGACAGATACAGATATGGGGAAAGAGAGGCATATGAAGAAGGATAAGAAAAAAAAAAGAGAATGCACATGAGTTCGAGAAGGAAAAGGAATTGTAGCGAAAACAACA